CGTTGGCTGTTCTGACCCGGTTATAGTTACCTCGTGTAAGCAAGAGATAGGCGTGTTATTGTTCCGTGTGTAACGAGTGTAATAGTTAGGTATATTGTAGTTCTGTGTGTAACGGTGTTATGTAGTATAGAATAAACGTTGTTGCCGCCTCCTAAATAGTGTCTCCGAAGTGACTCACTACACATGCATGAATATACATATGCACATACTTTACACACACTGACATACAATGACAACAGCTGCTGTGGTGCCATGGCCTCGAAGCAACTCTGCAAGCGCAGCAACCCCCCCCCCCCCCCCTGGCCCCCACACTGAGCACACACACGCAGCGCAAACACGTAGTTTCCTGAAGGGGGATCGCCTGGCACCAACGGGTGTTAATCCGAAGGGTCCCTAGGAGGAAAGTTCCACTTTTTATAGGTGCCAGGAGATTGGCCGACCCTCGCAGGACAGGTCACATTGCGGTGCCCCTGAGTTGGCTTAATACTGTATGGGCGCAAAAAAGGTTTACTGGGCCAGCCGCAATGAGTCATTCACGACATCGGGAGTAGCTGTGGTAGAATATTAAGCGAGAAGGGCAGACCATGAGATCAGGGGATCGCAGCCCCACGACCTCCCCCGACCCCCATACCGAATACACGCTTGCAGGGTGTGTATTTGTCAGTCGGGCGTCATTCCGGATTAACAAGGGTGAGTAATAAATTCAGGGGTACGGACAGACAGACAAGGGGTCGCAGAAGCACTCGCCGCCAATGCTCAATGTAAGGGGAAATAAAAAGGCTGTAATCACAGGTAGGCACACGATTGGCCGCGCGGGACAACGCGACCCCGGGCCCTTGAAGTCATGGGGATAAAAGGGGAGCCTGAGGCCATTCAAAAAGTAACTCTTTTTCAACATCTTGATCACCAAGACCCCCCGCCGTCCTGCCTTCTCGAGCCACTCGCAGCATCCGTGTGATGCCAGCGAGTGCTGCTACGAGGCAGTGATAGGTGAGGTTTTCTCTCGTCCTTCTCCCTCTGCCTCTCACAGCGTCCGTGCGACGCCGTGAGTACAGCTTCGAGGTTTGTGGTAGGACGTTTGAGTGACTGGGGACTTAGGCAGCAGTAGGCTAGGCTCTTCTCGCAAAATATTCCCCCAGGTAGTGCGTAGTTGCGCCGAGAATAAAAGTTAGTACAGAGCGTAGGTGTGGTGTCTGTGATTTCTGTATGGAGCGACTGCATGGGGGGAATGCGCAGTGAGTGAACTGGAGCCGTGGCGTGCACGCGCGTTGAGGTAATCGCCCACAGGTGCGAGCGCGTTCGTGCCCCCCCTGTGTTAGCGATAGCTGCGGAGTGCAAGGGTGTGTGGTATAACTCCCTGTGGCTCCAAAGCCAGCGGCACGAGGATGTCCCTCGGAGAGGGTGCGAGCGCGGGGGCCCCGTTACTCAGTCGGCGAGGGCCCAGTGGGAGCCAACCGACCTGCCTAGTGAGGGCGGTGTGGTAGACGTCATGCCTCACACTGCCATTAGCCACTAAGTAACGTCCCCAGGCCCACGTTTAGGCTATATGAAATGTGGAAGGCTCACAGGAAGGAAATCACAGAATGTATCCAGGTGTTATGGGTTAACTGATAGAGATTGCTGGCAGATGCACCACTCATGTCCCCCAATGTGCCAAACCTGCTGTGTTTTAGCCACCCGGCACTGCTCATTGTCAGTATCGCTCCTCTACCCTCCATTGTTATTAGAGGGCGACTGCCTCCAACTGCCCAGCAGCTTCCTTCACGAGCTTCATCCACAGAAGTCGATCTTAAGAGCGCTGGTACCAGTCATCGACAAGTACACTAAGCTGTACATCCTCCTGTACTACATTAGCCAAGAATATTAATCCCTGCAGTCACGAAAGCTTTAAATCAAAAAGATATTGGAGCTGTTCTTTAACGCTGGCTAGACACCTTGGAAGAGGCGGAGGTACACACGCTTTACCCCACAACACTGCGACCTGCCGATTAACAACGTGTGGGGCATCCAATTGCACTGCTGTGAGGACAGACGTGGGGCGTCTTTTAAGGGACGTGCCCATTGTTTCAACTGCCGTGCCAGGAGATCAAAACCGGCAACCTCGAAATCAGTTTAACACGTAGGCTTTCGCGACCAATATCATCCATCATAGAGGGGTTTTTTTTTTTTTTTGGGGGGGGGGAGGGTTAGATCGCGTAAATATATAAATGTGTCGTTACAACCCTCTAAATCGTGTACCAGTCCAGTGTGCCAGCCATTACACCACGGCATAACGAATGCTGCTAAGAAGAAATGTGTCCCCGCTCAAGGAGTGTCGCGCCGTGCGAACTGTAGCTGGTGGCCCTAGATCAGTGGTTGGAAACATTTCACAATCTTGCGTGGCATGGGACAGTCAATACGCAGGACAACCACTGGTGACTTCCGAATAAGTGGCACTTAGGGATCTCACATCCAAAATTACAAATGCTGTGAATATCATCATCATTTGCCATACCATACAATACAACTGACTTCTGCTCATGAACTTAGCCGGGCTGTGGCGGTGCGTCCCTGTAATCCAGCACTATGGAAGCGAGGGCTTTCGGCTCACATACATGTTGTCAAACTCTCTTCCCGTCAGCATTGAGGTTGCCAGAAGGACGTGGTACGGCAGAATGTGGACTCCACCTGTTCCATCTCTTTGGGATAGAGTGTTGCCCCCTCACACGTGTGGGTTTCCTCCGGATGCTCCGGTTTCCTCCAACATGTTAATTGGTCGATAAAAACACTTAATATATAAAGGACCGTGCAGCTTTGGTGGAGGGGTGTAAAATTGGCACCAGTTCATCGCCTGGCTGCCTCACTTATCTGTGGTCTATCGCGCCTCTGAGTTATTTTCCTCTCATCGAGAGTAAACGAATACTGTGTGGCACATTACAACTTGAAATAATAATTATTCTTTTAAATGATGGGACAATTTTGCCAGTATAAAATTATGAAAAAATAAGAATAGGGCAAAACTTTTTTTTCATACTTGGATGCTGGCAAAAAGGTCCCATTTTGTAGCTGCTCACCCTGCCCTAAAATGCTCTGATAGCTATCAGCTATCAATATAGTCCATTGTCTGTTCGCCTTTTGGTGTTCTTTGGTCTGACATTGGTGAGACTCAGCCATGAAGAAGGGTTTCTCTGGTGTAGGCCAATCGGTTTCAAAGACAATGCCTATATTATCAGAACATGTTTGTTTGCATGTTCACAACACAAGTACGTGCGGTTAATACAGATAGGATTCCTTGCAAGCGGTTTCTGTTTTGGCGTTTGAACATCATAACACAACTGTTTTATTGCCAGAAAGGGTAAAACTTACTCTTATTTTTAAATTATGTCATCGTTCCATCCCTGCCGGTGGTGGTCGTCGTCCCCCGTGGACCCGTCGCCAACCTCGTCCAACGGCCATCATCTCAGAGCCCAATTACATGTTTGTTGACGCTCTGAATATAAACACCATAATAATAATAATACTACTACGACTACCAGGGTAAATGTTCCATGCAGCAGGGCTTCAGCCAAGAAACCCAAGCAGGCCCGTCATAAGGAAAATCATCTTAACCGAGACTCAGTTGGAGCTTTGTAAGTAAATGGCGAGCCTAGAGTATATATTTCAACTCTCTCCCCACCCCACCAAAATCCAGCCCATTCAAAAGCAAACTAATTTCACGCACTTTTGTCATCACAGACGTCTGGTGACCTGGTGACCAAGTCACAAGGGCCATCATGCTCCAAACACTCTAAAGCAGTTATCATCTCCATTGACCAGTGAGCCAATGGGATAACTTGAAGGCAGTCTTTCCACAACACAGCTCCTATTTAATTCCCACGTAACTTTTACAATTTTAGAGGTTGTGATTAGCTGAGATTACCACTGAATGGGCATTCAACGTGGATCCTTCCGATTGAGAGCTAAATACTCTGCCAGATGATAATGACTGGTTGCAGCCGTCTTGCACCCTAGCATTGAATTTTACCGAATTACATGTGTGCACCGCTGATGTTGATGTCTCAAAATTGGAGTTGTTCTTGTGGATTTTATGAGGTGGAAAAAGACTGCAGCACTTTGCGTGTTAACGATGTATTTATTTAATGGAGAGAAACAAAATAAACTATTTTTAAAAGTCTTAAGTGGCCATTCGCAGTGGCAGTGATGGCCAATGTGCAGTCAACTCTTACAACTATTTTCAAAGGCTTCCTCGGTGACAGGAACGCACAGCCACAGGTGTCGAGGCCGAATTGTACTCCATGATCGGTTACTGTTCACCGTGGTCGGCATGTACAGAGCCTGGGCCTTGTCATAAGCCCGGAGGGAGTGGTGGCTACGCACCACCCCCCCGTAATCCCGCGCCGTGTGGAGGCGGCGAGCGTCGACGGCGTCGCACGCAACGTGTTGTGAAGCTCCCTTCCCGTGGGGATCAAAGGGGTGCGCCACAGCCCTGGTTCGCCAAGAGAAGGCAGTACGGCAAAAAATTGAGGACTGCACCTGTTCCATCTGTGCGGTGATAGAGTGTTGCTCCCTCGCACGCGTGGGTTTTCACTGGGTGCTCCAGTTTGCTCCCACATGCAAACACTCACTAATTGGCTGATAACACCTTCATATATAGAGGATCGCAGAGCTTGCGTGGGCAATTTGACGTCGGATCACCGCGTAGCTGGTGCTACCTTCCTCGTCGCTCCTCCGAGTCGTGCTCTCTCCCTTCGAGAGCGAGCCCTTATTAACCATGCGCGTTACAATGTTACATTATTTGAATTACTTATGCCACTAGCTCAACGGCTGTTACCTGCATTGGAAACGTGCACTATGTCCATGCTCATTTGAGCTGAAACGATGGTCGACTATGTTAATTTACGTGCACGTGATGCTTATGAAATGCGTTGTTTTAAGAGATACACTCCCAGGGGGGTATTGACATGACCCCAGAGTCAAACATGCTCATATTTGTTTTTGTTAATTAAAATCCACAGTCTGAATGGAGAAACAGCTTGCATATATTTATTTTTGCATTCGTAAAAATACAGACCTGTTAATACAGACAGACGGTAATAAGATTCGCTAGAAAGGTTCTGCTGAACCCTAATAAAGAATGCAAAACCAATAAGCGTGATTGTGTTCACAACATCTCGGGAGGACTCGTGAAATGTGAGGCTGGTAATTCTACCTTCATCGTATGAGGGCACACCAGAAATTAATTTCATGATCAGGTTCGTATATATTTTTTGAGAACATGCAACATTCTCGCACTCTATGGCCTAAGAACGGCTTGCGGAATTCTGTCACGCGGTCTCTTATTCACCTACACGTCTTGTCGGATGCAATACAACAAATAAATTTAGAAAAAAAAGTAACAAAGATATTTATGCAAAGTAATAATTATTTTATGAGTTGTTGTTGGTGAGGCTGTGGCACGCTAACACGAGATGTCATTGATCGATCTGCTTCGAGGCGTGCCGGTGAAGGGTCGTGCCCGGCCCCTCCGTTGCTCTGCCCCACTCGCCGGCAGCCAGAGTAGGTCACGTGACCAGCGTGCTGCTCGGGTTCATCAAGTGAATGGGGGAACCAGTTTCGGTATCTTTTTTAATTGCGGGGATATTTAAAAATAAACAACAACAACTTATAAATACAGTACAACTGAATTACAAATGCGGTCATAACACTCGATAAGAATTTGACCTAATGGCACGAGTAAAGAAGGAACCTCCTGAAAATTATTATTCAATATTGAGTGACGTTTTTGGTGGGAAAAGATCTTCAGTTTTTGCCGATGATGATGATGACAATGTGGATGGCGACGATAATGCGACGACGGGAGTTAACAACGTACTGCGTAGGTCAAGGGTCAAGGGAAAAGCTCTTCTGCTCAGCTCTTGCACATTCAGAATCCCTTGACGTATTCCTTGTAAGACGCACTCGCGTGCTCGCCTCTGCATCCCACCACCTCGACCACCACGTCGCCATCCATGCACTGCTTCTCCGACTCCCCGCCATCAACCGCCTTCGCGTTCACCTTTACTTTGATCGAGAGGGGGATGGAGGTTTCCACGGGAAAGCGTTTTGTCTTTTTCTTCCTGCCAGATGCACACACGAGGAGAGAGTTACGGACGATACACAATGCCGTTCGGACAGATACGCAGTGCCCATGCAGTCGCCATTCTATGGGGGAGAGACATGAGAGGAGGAGGTGCTGGCAAATTGCACCCCCCCCCCCCCACGCAGTGCCTGCGTGTGCCCCCTACTTAGAGGCAGCTCCTTGGAGTGGCTTGGGAAGCACTCAAGTTAAAGTCAACATCTCGCCGTGGCGAGATGTTATCTCTCTCGCCTTGTACGCAGGATGTCGTGGGTTCGATCACGACCCTGACGCCTGCTCTATATTCGGAGTTTGCGTGTCTCTCTCTCTCCCCGCGGTCGTGTGGATTTTTCTCTGGGTCCTCCGGGTTTTCCCTCCACATTCAGAATCAACTATCACGCGTTTAGAGTATTTGCCTGCTATACATTCGACGTGATAAGCCACTTCGTTGAGAGATAATTTGTGGCCAGGTTGCTTCTAAAAAATAGCTATACAGTATAGCTTAGCGGGCCTGACCTGGTTAAAATAAATAACAGTTTATAGATCAAAAGTCATGACTGCTAATTTTGTCGATGCCGGAGCACGTCGCCATCACTTCCTTTCTAACCCGCTCCAACTGGACATCCATGATAAAGAGCTTTATAGCTCATCGGATTCCTCCAGCATAAACGAATACAGATTCTGATTCTTCATTCTGCCAGATCCCAGTCCAGTTGCACAGTTGTCACGTGACTTCCAAGGCCTGCCCTCCTTTCAGTTTTATTCAACGGATGTTTGGAGACAATAAATTTCACGAAACAAACAACAAAGCGAACGTTCTGATGTATTACATTTCACCGTTAGAGCTGCTGTGTTATAATTTCCGCACACTCAAATATGTAGGTTGTGGTTCAAAAGTATTCTCTAATAATTAAATGAGCCAAATTTTTCATGCTTGTGTGACTATTGTAGATGAGCCTAGGGCTTTGTTCGTACCATTCTCTGGCACTTTTAGCAGGGCAGATTCAATAACCATCATGTAAACCACCCAAGTGATCTTCTTTGGTTCTTTCGGTAAAGTCACGTAGAATGAGAATAAAATAATAAAATAAAACAATAAAATTCTCACGACGTTTCGGCCACAACACAAGTGGCCTTCACGAAGCGTCGTGAGAATTTTTTTGTTTTATTTTATTATTTTATTCTCATTCTACGTGACTTTACCGAAAGAACCAAAGAAGATGAATCCTTGCAGTCGCGAAAGCTTTAAATCGAAATTCACCCAAATGATGTTCTGTTCCATTGATATATGTATGGTTAAACAAATGCAAGTTCCATTTTAAATGCACTATATTACTAAGCGTGTGTAATCCAACTGCTATTTGCTGTTAGGTCGACTATAAAGTTGCTGTGCCACTGTTTTCAAGAGTAAAGTCATTGTGTATAGGTCTATCCACAAGAATATCCACTGTGGATAATCGGTGAGCAAAACAATCCCATCTCCCAGTAGGGATCCCTATCCCCGCTAATGAAAGCTGTGCGTCTCAGTGGGTCCACTCAGCATTAATATTTTCATTTGCAATTTCAATTGAATTGCGTAGACGCAGGAAGAGTTCGCTCACTTCATGTCAATGTGCTGCTATAGAGAGCTGTACCAAAGTGAAAGCTGCAGCGCCTGGAACTGCTCGCTCACACTACTGCTGGCGAAAGGGCGTCCACTAGAGGGAGCTCTAGAGAGCCCCCCCTAGCGTGAATTTTGGCCTACACTTCCATGCTACGTCTTGGAAGAGGTGGGAGTACCCACACCTTACCCCACGTGACCTGCCAATCGACTATACGTCGAGAACGTATTGAACAAATGAAGCCCTCCATTAGAGTCTGCCATTTTCTATTGCCATTCAGATTCAGCAGCTGAGTGGCTCAAGGGTGCATCACGTGATGCCTGATCACCACACCAGCATCGTCGAGATCCTGGGTTCGAATGATTAGAGCAGGCTCTCAAGCGTGGCGAGTTGATGGACTCAGCCTGGACACCAATTGAGATACTCTACAAAAACACACTTTTATACATATAAACGTGTTTTTTTTTTTTGACGCTGCATTTGCAGTAGTGCACACGCACGATTCACAAAAAACGCAACATCCAAAGAGGAAATAAAAAAACGTTTTCGACAAGGGCCCTTCGTCATAGCATAGAGATGATGGGACATGATCCGATGAATGTGTCGCATTTAAGATACATCATTTGTTTGTTTACGTTATTTATCAAAGCCCACATCTGAGTGGTAACATTAATGCATGCAGTGTATCAGAGAACTGACGTGCAGTGAAGCACTCTCTCCACAGAGTGAATAGGTGTGTTGTCCAGCGTTCGCTGAAAGGGGTCTTTTGAAGTGACTGCAAAAGTAATTCTGGTGCTGTCTCCCCTACGTGACGTGATTCTCCGCCGACTACAAGTCCCGGAAGAACATCACTCGGCTTCATGACAGGAGGAGACGTTTAGGCGGAGTGAGGTGCGCATCAGCTAATGGATCTGGCAAATGGAAGGAAGTGATAGCGAAGTGTTGGTGGCTTCAATGGCATTCACGTTTCAAGTTTGGTCTGTTTCACCAGCTGAGTTTAGTCTCGTTTGCAAGAGCGACGAGTGAGTCAGTGGGTGGGTGGGTGAAGTAATAAGGTGGTTGGGTGGGTGGGTGAAGACAGATAATAGGTGAGCGAGTGGGTGACTGAGTGAGTGGGTGGAGCTGGTGAGTGGGGAGCGGTTAGCGCTCTGCTCTATCTGAACCGGTCCCAGGCCTCCCCTAAGTCGACTCAGCCTCAAATGAGTACCTCTTGCGGTGTGTAAACATCGCCACTGAGGAGGCAAAGGCGGCCGGGCGTGGTGTTGGTCACCCACCCCCTCCTGAGCCGTGCCGGCCTTCATAGGTGCTCGCTAACAACACTTGCCCCAACAGTCTGTTAAGGCTATAGGGGGGGATCTTTGTCTTTGGTGAAGGGAGATGGTGGGTGAGTGGGTAACTAAATGAGTGAGACGATGAGTGAGTGCGGTCGAGTTCGAGTCTGAACTAGGGGAGAACTCAAGAGGCCAGGATGAGTCTCACTGGCAAGAGTGTGACACGGCTCGCCAAAAGCACGAGAAGAATAAAAACAGAGTGCAGCACCGAAGGTATTCGAATTGGAAATGTCGTGGGTGCAGTCTCCAACACACTGCCGGTGTGCTGAACTAGTCACGAATTGGTGGTGGGTTTGACGACACATTATATTCACGCGATATAACCCCAAAAACTTATATTATGGATAAAAAGGAAATAGATACCAGATCAAAAATAACTCTGTGAGAAATTACATTATTTGCACTCACATAAATCAGTGTTAAATCATTGCATTCTCTGTAGTGCAGGTCGGCGATAGATTGTAATAAACCACTACGTTATATCATTAGCTGCTGACCCTGAGAAGATGACAAACACGCGTGTAATTTAGATCATTATGATCATGCTGATGCAATGTTTTAACTGCGTCCGACATAAAATGTGGTTTTATCGTTGAAAAATGTGTAAATAGATTCAGACAATTAAGCATAGTTATATTTTGATTTAAAGCTTTCGTGACTGCAGTAATTCATATTCTTAGTTTTTTCGGTAAAGTCACGTTGAAGAGAAACAACAAAATAACAAAATATATATAAAACAATAAAAAATTCTCACGACGTTTCGACCATAACTCAAACGACACACCTGATGATGACCGTTTGAGTTATGGTCGAAACGTCGTGAGAATTTTTTATTGTTTTATATATATTTTGTTATTTTGTTGTTTCTCTTCAACGTGACTTTACCGAAAAAACTAAGAACATAGTTATATTGTCAAATATGTGACCCGTGCTTTCAGATGATATAGTTCACTGATGCTGATGTGTAAAAAACATGTAATGGTGTTGATAACACTTTTACCTTCGACATTTCAAGACACAAAATGCGGCTGTGGCGATGACGACGGCGACGAAAATCAGAATGATCAGCACGGGATGTTTCCAATCTGGAAAAAGAGTAACAACAATTGCAAAAAAATATCAACATAGCAAATTCATATTTTTGGGGCCTTCAAAACATATACAACTGCCTTCTCATTTCTGGTCAAACTTGTCATTCGCTGGGTGTGGTGGCCAAGAATCCTGGCTGTAAATATATCAACCGGAGCACGTGGGGCTCATGGATAATGCAAACGGGTGAAGCCTGTAATACGCCGATGGCTACGAGAGGCAGTACAGCAAGCGGGATGGCCGGGTGGCTCAGACGGCTACGAACGCGTGGGAGCATTGCCGACTTTACCGGGTTTCCATCCAAGCAGCCACCGGTGAGTTAAACTTGGTTCTTAACTGATGTATGTCGATTTGATGGTCTCCGTGACTTCTGGATGAGTGATTGATTGCAACGTTTAAAGTTAAACTTGTTTGCATTCTGAACAAAAGTGAAACCGTGAATTTGAAAAATAGGATGATGTTGATGAAGGTGTATTTGGGTTAGATGGTTTAAATATAAATGTGTCGTTAAACCCACCACCACCCGACACAGCCAATTAGCAAGGTTTGTCACGTCAATAAAACATGCCAATTCGTGACTAGTTCAGTGTTGGAGAGTAAATCCACAACATTTGAAGTCTGAGTACGGCGTTTCACCACTAATTGCATTGATGATGCTGGTTGTAATTACTGGCGAAACGTTGTACTCAGATAGTAAATGTTGTGGATTTACTCTCCAATTCACCGGTGTGCTGTACTAGTCACGAATTGGCATGTTCTGTTTACGTTACAAACCTTACTAATTGGCTGTGTCATGTGGTGGCGGGTTTCACGACACTTTTATATATTTACGCGATCTAACCCCCCAAAAAAAACGATATTATGGATTTTAAAAGTCTGCTGGTAGATCTGTTGAGATGAGGCAACGTTTTGGTGTCCACCCTTGTTAATATTGCCTATCTAGCATGGAAGAGGGCACATTTCGTATTGATACGAATTGAGTAGCAACTATCAATCGATGTCTGAGTTGCGGATCCAGCTGTCAGCTTCAGAGCGCAGAGTGTGAACCACTCGTGCGATCGGAGGACAGATTGAAACACTTCCTCCCTCAGCTCGCCGAAGCGTTACATCGTGCTGCGCATTACAATGTCCGACGTTCAGCTCCACGTGCCGCGAGCACGACACGCAGTGCAACCTGAGAACGCACATCAGAGCTGCAGAGCGCACAACCTGGGGGAAAAACCCAAGTGGTTGGTTGCATTGTCCCAGGTCTCTTGGAAAACATGTTTTGACTCGAAAACTCACTCTGTTTTAAACAAAGAAAATGTACTGACGAAATTACTATTTTCACCTGTAGGGTGTACACTGGTGGAGCCAGTGGGGGGGAGGGGGGGTGGCACGTGCCCCCCCAATGATCCGATCGAAAGCCCTAATTTATATCGGATCATTGGGGTTTATTCGTAATAAATCGGCATTTTGCAGCGCCAAGGGGCTTTTACGAGGATTAAGCAGCTACTACTGATTGAAATGTCCCTCTACGCTGCAGTGACACGTACTACGTTCTGGGTGCAAGTCAAACATTGTTTACCAGGTAATACATTGTCCATATACAGTAATAGTATTATTATTATTATTGACTTGTCAAAACGTATACCCTATGACAGTGAGTAGTAATCGACTGTTGTGTTACTTGTTCGGCGTACGGCAAATGCTGAGTTCGAGCGGCATGTGCGTGATGGTTTGCTTGCACCTCCACTCGTACTGTGTGTTATTTTGCACAGTACTTGCACCTGCGCGTCAATATCATCCGCACCTTCAGGAACTATACATTCGAAATCGTTATATTAAATGAATATTGTAAAATGTAAAAGTACAGACGTGCTGGTGGAAGGGCCTCCACGAGAGGGTCGTCTAGAGAGCCTCTCTCTGGAGGATATTTGGCCTACTCTTCCACACCGGCGAGGAGTACCCACGCTTTCCCACACGCCAGCTGCCGACCGACCCACTGCGGTGAACCCATTTCTACCACTGGATCGACAGAGGCGAGGAGGGGAGTGGATTAAATAAATAAAAAACGAGGGCCTGCGGGTTGTAAGTCCGGTGTGCTACCCATTGCGCCACTGTGGCATCGCCACTCGTGAATGAGGAATGTCCCACACCTCCTCACCACAGGGCAACAGATGTGGCGCAGTTGGCAACATTGTGCCCCACAGCAAGCGGGGGCCTGGGCTCAATGTTCTCTCCCTCCGTTCTGCATGGGGGGGTTTCTCCTGGGTTTTTACGGTTTCGGTCCATAGCTAATAAAACATGAACGTGCAACAACACATTTCGAGGCTGGAACCGTATCTGCAACTCACTGACTTGGGATCACAAAGAGCAGCAACATGGCCCCCGTTACTGCAAAAAAAAAAACTTTGAAAAAGAGTCTTGGAACCTTCCTGGTTAAACAAGCATATTCATAAAAATACTAATACATGCGTTTAGAATCAACTTGCGTTTTAGAGTATGTGGCTAATATAAATTTCGACAAATGATGAGCCACTTCGTTGAGCTATCATTTGCAGCCAGGTCGCTTCTGGAAAAGATCTTTATAGCTCAAGTGGGCCTGACCTGGTTAAAAAAAAATAAGTAAAGTTTAGTTTAGAGATACAATTTTGAAATTTGAGATGATAAGTGAAATGCAAACCGCAGTACGGGCAAACCCTGGGGGGGTGGGGGGTGGAAGCTACATCATTGCAAGTAAACGAGGTACTGAATCACGTGTATAATTGGACCTCATGTCAGATTTAATCATTGGACGTGGCAGCGAATAAGTCGTGGAAGTATCCGGTGTCATGGGTCTCTCTGCACCAATGCAAGGCAGCGGCCTAAACCGCAATGCGAGACACACCCTGCGTGTTCGAGGGTTCCAGCTTCATCCCCTCGGTCGTCAGGAGCTGCGCACCACTCCCACTGCTGCCGTGGCCGAGCGCGGCATCCAACACTATACGGCAGTGACAATGACGTGACATAAACACACGGGCAATGTTGTGTTTCACGAACAATATCGCTTACATCGACGCCCATATGCTGTGTTACAGACGACATTTGCTATCTACCCTGCAGATGGCGTTAGCTTTGACGGGGAACCACGGTGGCGAGATGTTAACTACCTCGCCTGGTGTGAAGGAGGTCGTGGGTCCGTATCCTGACCATGATGCATGTTCTCCCCGTGGTTGCGTAGCTTTTTCTACAGGCCCTCTGAGTTTTCCCTCCAGATTTAGAAGCATGCATTTCGAGTATTTGGCCGCTATAAATTTCCACACGATACACCACATTGTCGGGCTATCATCTGTGGCCAGGTAGCTTCTGAAAAAGAGACACGTAGAATGAGAATAAAATAATAAAATAACACAATACAATTCTCACGACGTTTCGGCCACAACGCAAGCGGCCGTCGTGAGAATTTTATTGTGTTATTTTATCATTTTATGCTCATTCTACGTGACTTTACCGAAAGAACCAAAGAAGATGAATCCTTGCAGTCACGAAAGCTTCAAATCGAAAGAGATACATAGCCCAGTGGGCCTTACCTGGTAAAATAGTTGAAGAGTTAGAGTATATTGACCATAATTATTTATTTATCCAGGAAAGCCACACTGAGTCCAAGGACTCTCTTTCAGGAGGATCCTGCGGTATTGGGTGCTTTTTTTTTAAAGATATTTTAAGCCAATGAATGAGCGTTTATACAAGTGGGAATGCAGCTGGAGCAACCCCATAGAAAACCCCACGCATGCAAGGGGGCAACACTCTATCCCCATACAGATGGAAACAGATGGAGATACGTCTACTTGCTGTACTGCTTTCTCCTGGCAATCCATGGCATGGCACCTCAACGCCCATGCCAAGGGAGTTTCACAGCATTTGTGTGATCAACCAACACTCGCTGCCTCGATAGCGCTGGGTCACAGAGCACTTGAATAGCCGCCACTCCCTGGCTAACATGTTACCAATACAGCACATACAGTGCATTGCCTATAGACTTTTTACAGTTAATCCAATTGTGCTGTTGAAGTCGTATCATAAATCAATCGCATGTTCATTTGCAATTTATCCAGTGCAGTGTCTCACCCCGCGTTCGAGCGCGGACTGCAGAACGTGACATCACACAATTCCTTCTGAGATCCATTTCAGGTGACCTTTAATCCGCACGTACGATCACTGGACTTGCAAACGCACCGTGCTGTATGGACGTTTGTCACACACGGCACTTTAACCGAGCTCTCTTATTGTTTTTAGTTCTCGGGGCTTGATTTGTTTAGGCAAAATGAACTACAAACCAAGCGTAATGCTAGTTCGTGTATGTGCAGTCATTTGGTGACTGGGTTAAGACGACCAACTCACGACGACAATTTTGAACCCAGTGTAAGCACGTGCAACGAAAGGCGAGGCTCGAACCTACGACCTCAGCGATGCCATCTTCATGCTCTGAGCCAGCCGACAACCGAAAATTAAGGCCTTTATTTCTTTCGTTTCTAGATTTGAAGCTTTCGTGACTGCAAGAATTCATACTCTTTGGTTTTATTCGGTTAGGTCACGTCGGTAATTTTTTTTTTTAATTAAAATTAAATAAAAGAAAAAATTAAAACACGACGTTTCGGAGGCAACACAAGCTTCCGTCTTCAGGTGGAAACAGTCACAGCTCGGTGCAGCGATTTTTTCTTGCTGTGACTGTTTCCACCTGAAGACGGAAGCTTGTGTTGCCTCCGAAACGTCGTGTTTTAATTTTTTCTTTTATTTTTTTTACATACGTGACTTAACCGAATAAAACCAAAGAGTATCCTTTCCTTCTACCCTCTCCTTAGCCCCTTATCTAATTGCCTTTCACAAAACTCTCCAACTGTATATGGATGTAGTGGCGGTACACCGGTGCAGCATAACACACCGATCCTCGAAAAACAGTTGTAAAATCTAAATGTGAAACTGGCATTTGCCTTCCGACTGCTTCGACATCGCGACAACTGATGTTGACGCACCACCAGCACCACCACCCCCCAAGATGTTCTGACGGGGTTGGGAATCGCGGGAAAATGAAGAATGATTGTGAAAAAATATATATATATTCCACGCGCTGGTGTATCGCCAATACGTTCATACAAGTTACGTTGCAAATAACCAGTACTGTAATAATCGAAGTGAAATTTTCCTTTGAAGGCCAGAGTGTTATTTTTGCGAATGTGTTGAGTTTGTTTAATTCAATGAAAAAAAACATTAAAATAAAACTATTTTTTTATTTTACCAGGTAAGCACCACTGTGCTATATAGCTCTTTTTCAGAAGCGACCTGGTTATCACAAATGATAGCCCAATAAAGTGGCTTATCAAGTGGTAATTTATAGCGGCAAATGCAGCAGCGTCGCCAAATAATTTGCGGCACAATAATCAGATAATTAAAAGGAGTTTCTGAGCTTTTCCATTTAACCACGAGCTGTTATTTATCAAGTAGCAGCTCATTAGCTCGTACGAATAGAAAAGTATATTGCACCTATTTAATTACTTGGGTGATGGAAATAATTATGGTTAATAAATATGTTTAACATCGCAAAAGAAGCTGATCCATGTAAATCACTGATACTAAGCCTGCAATGGGAGGAGTGTTGGCGCCACTGCAGAAACTTTGCAAAAAATGTGAACATTCATACCCTTGATTTGAAGCTTTCGTGACTGCAGGAATCCATACTCTTTGGTTCTTTCAGTAAGTCACGTAGGTAGAAATTAAACAAAATAAATCACGACGTTTCGATAGCAACAAGACGATAGCTTGTATTGCTATCGAAACGTCATTTATTTTGTTTTATTTCTACCTACGTGACCTACCGAAAGAACCAAATCAGAATTCATACCCTTCCCTTATGAAAGGGATACTCTTGAGATTACAAAAAATAAGTTGAACATGCATTTAATAGACTGAATTTATATTGACCATTGCTGAAGTCAATGATGAGGCCTTACCAGTGAAATGTCCTTGACTGGCATAAGTGTCTGTTTGTAGATTCTGCGTGGAACTGGCAGCCATCTCAACATTAGTCGGCACGTCGGTGAAACTTGAACCATTTTCCCACGCATCTCCGGACGCCTCGAGGTCCCCAGAGAATGGGTTAGCGTCACTCGCCACGGAAGGAGTTGCACTCGGCACATGAAAACCCCTGCTCGTGGACAATCTTCCGCTGTCATCCAAGTGCACTTGCGTCAACGTCCAAATTGCATTCGTGGCACCGTGAGCCAAGGAATCGACTGTTGATTCTGAACGAGAGGGAGGTGCAAATGACGGTGCAGTATTAAAATGTGGCAAAGGTGCAGCCCTGCAATTGGGCTGGTCACGCCACTGCTGATGGAAAGTACGTCCACTGGATGGAGCTCTGGAGCGGCCCCCCCCCCCTCTAAAGGGTACATTGTACATTCTTTCCACAATGGCCAGACGCCTCGGAGAAGGTGGAAGTACCCCACGACGGTGCCCCCCCCCCCCCCCATCGCATGCCCCCTGTCGACTGACCCAACTGCGGTGACCCCATTTTGCCCTGCTTGGTGGACGGAAGTGGGGGGGGGGGGATCCTAAGAAATTTGGGCCATTGTTTCAAAGGCGCCACACCAGGAGGGAAGTCGCACCGGCGACCTCTGGACTGCAAGTCCAGTTTGCCGACGATCACAACACCACGGCAGGACTCTGAGATGTTTAACTACAAATATCCTCATCAGTTGCATTTTAAAAAACAAAAAAATTACCCAATGGTCACCCTCCATTTGACCCCAAACATAGGGGTAACACTTCAAAACGTCGCATTATTTCACTCAGCGATCCACATTTTATCACACGCGACTAAATGTGGAGTACCCATTTGCACTGCTGTGTGGACACGGGGTAGGGGAACTTAAATAACTTGCCCGGGATTTCCACTGCTTTACTGGGAGATCAAATCGAGCCTCCGACCCCTGGACTGCACATCCAGTCTGCTGAACAGGACACCATTTGAATCAAGAAAAAAATGAATGAAATCGATCGAGCTGATTTTTTTTAAATCCATTACTGTAGTGAATAATGAGGCCCTTACCAGTGCGGTTTCTTTGGCTGGTCTGAGTGTCTCTTTGTGGACTCTGCGTGGTACTGACAGCCATCTCAACATTGGTGTGCGCATCGGAGGGACGGGAATCGTCTCTAGGGGCATCTCCTGATGCCTCACGGTCCCCGGAGACTGGACCAGCATCTCTTGCCACAGAAGGCATTGCACTCTGCAAACGAAGATCGCTGCCCGTGGATAATTCTCTGTCACCCAGGTGTGCTTGCGCCGACGTTGAAAAAAATGTGTTTGTGGCACCGCTAGCCAAGGCATTAACCGTTGAATCTGAGCAAGAGGGAGCATACACATTGTTTTGCTTGAAACTTTGGATGGCCGAACAAGTAAAACAACATCTTCCAATATTACCCTGCTGTGTGCAGGCTGTACTTTTTAATGTAACGTATCGCCCATAATACAGGTTTTTGGGGTAAGATTGAGTAAATATAAATGGGTTGTTAAACCCACCACCACCCGACACAGCCATTTAGAAAGGTTCGTCATGTAAACCGAACATGCCATTTCGTTACTCGTACAGCACACTGTTGTGTTGGAGAGCAAATCCGCAACATTTACAATCTGAGTACAATCCACCCTCTGATATTCATATGTGTTATGAAACAACAACAAAAAATAATTATGATCACACATAACAGAGTTTGTGTGTTAGATCGCGTAAATATAAATGTGTCGTTCAACACACCGGTGTGGTGTACTCGTAACTAATTGTCACGTTTTATTTATATGACAAACCTTACTAATTGGCTGTGTCGGGTGGTGGCAGCTTTCACGACGCATTTCTATTTACGCGATCTAACACAAAAATAACCTCGATTATGGATATTATTGATCACGAAAACCTACGCGTCAATTATAATCAATGATTATAAGCATCAAAGTACGTGCTATTTTCTCCTAAAACCGAGTTAAATCGAAGTGATTAAAAAAACCTCTTTAAAGTTTCACCGTAAAGTTTTCGAAATGTGGAACTAACTTTTCCCTGAATTTGGGTGTGCAGAAAAAAAAGTGTCTTGGTTTCCAAAAATATCAGACAAGGGCAATCTCTGATTTATTCCCGAGAACAATAGGGTAGTAAATAAACAAATGGAAGCCAGTGTAGTGGAACATATTCCTAGGATATGTATTTGGAAATGCACAAGAAGAAGATGGGTTACATGTGCTGGCAAAATTTCAAGTGTTCAAAAAAACATAGCCTCGAAGGCGTATAGAGTTTCTGTTCATGTTTTTGTGATAGTTTTTGCTCGATTTACAATGCGCAAGGAGTGGCACACCCACCGTAAAAAGAAAACACGAAGAGAAAGCTTGTAATCAGGGGGGTGCCGAGGGGAATCTAGGTCATGCATCCTCATATCAGCATGCCCGAGCCGACCAATCAGGTTCTGTCAGTCCAAAAAAAATACAAAGATCCCCTATGTAGCCTTAACAAACTGTTGTGGCAAGTGCTGTTAGCGAGGAGTACCTATGGGGCCGGCACGTCACACGATGGGGCAGGTGGACAACACCACGCCCGGCCGCCTTTGTCTCACTCGTGCCGATCTTGTACACACCGCACCAGGTACTCAATTGAGGCTGAGTCGACCTAGGGGAGGCCCAGGACCGTTCCAGATAACCGTCACTGGTGTTGGCCGTGAGCGGGAGCCGAACCAGGGTCGTCTGGTTCATAGCACAGCAAGGATAACTGCTACATTGCCGCTCCCACCCCCTCAGTCTCTCACACACATAAACACTAGTGTGTGTTCATGTGTGTGAGAATTGTTATATCTACTACCGAGGAGAAGAACTGTAATGCCAGAGGTGGCTTAGCGCGACTTAAAAGTATGATGATGATGTTGAAGACAGTCACACGAGGGGATACTCGGAACGGGCTCCACTGATGTGCGACCATCGCCTGTACTCAAACTTAAGTGCAACAAGTTTGTAGTGCAGTGCTCGGATGTCTAGTGGCATGAACAAGGGATGTACTTGAACGATTCTCAAAGACAGTGATGAAGGCTGCTGAGAATGCACATTTGGATAACGGCAATGTCAACATGACTAATCAAAGGACAGTCATAGGATGGTCATAATTAATATTGTATCATAATGTTGTGACAGTAGAGTCAACCTGTAGATCGAGTGGTCAAAGGCCAGCGAGAAGGTTCCGGAATAGGGGCGTGGCCACGGGACAGGGGCGTGGCCATGCACCGTATATAAGGGAAATGTGCGGGAGACTCGTGGCTGTTGCAGTGGGGTCTTCGCCTGTTCGAGGGTGAGCACGTGGCTCCTTAATTAAAGAAATCCTTCTCAGGACAAGTGCGTCAAAGTCGTCATTACAACTGGTGTCAGAAAAGTGGAGTTTCATCATGCCACGGCATAGCCGCAGGGAGAACCCACTGACAACGACTTCCGATGAGGAGGAGACTCCCTGAAGCAAGCCCCGGGCGGCGAGGACCCGGTGAACAACCCCGTCGGTGAAGAGGAAGCTGCGGCAGCAACAAGGAGACGGCTGGACCGGATGGTAGCGGCGGTCTCGCAGCTCACCGTGCGGCTTGCTGTGGTGAGACTGGGAGCAGCAGAGAGCACGGTGGAGGTCCCAGCGGTGGAAGCCGCTCAGCCGACGGCCGCCATTTTACGGGTGAACCAAATGGCGGCCGAGTCGACTACAGCTTTGGCGGTGCGGGAGAAAGCGCCTGATCGTCCACGGCGAATGACTCCTGTTAAGAGTTTGTAGCAGCGGGAGGTGACTGGAGCGCCTTCACTAGAAGATTCGAGGCAGCGTATTAAGCCGTCGGGTGTAGGGAGGAGGAAGCGCTGAGAGCCCTGCCTACTGCCCTTGATGACGATGCTCTCACTGTGTTCCTAGCTGTGCCAGAGGAGCTAAGGGCCACTCTGCAGATGGTGTCCGGTGAGATGGTGGCCGTGTATAATCCGCCATTGAACACGCGGAGGAAATTTCTGCGACGCAAGCGCATTGATGGCGCTTGGCCTGGTGGCGTTTCCATGGCTGAACAAGGCGGCGCTGGACTCCCTCGTCATGGAGAAGATGATGGGGTGTCCGACGAGCCAGGGCAGCCACCCGAGGTAACTGTGCGACCTGAGAAGTGCGTTGTGCCGCCCACGGAATGCCGCCCTCTGAGTCGCAGAGGGCCACGGGACTCCGCTGCGGGCGATGGACCGGCGTCAAGGACCCGGTCAAGAGGTATACGGCTACATCGAAGATTCCCCAACCACGAGGATGGACATTCTTTCCGACATCCCAAAATTGTTGTGTCCCTCATGTGCAGTTGTTCATTCATTGTGAGATGGCTGACACCACTCACCCATGATATTATGTTGTTGTCCATTGCTGAAATCGCGCAGCGGTTTTTTTTGGACGCAGATGTATTGTTGTCATTTTGGTCTAATTGTTTCCTCTTAGTATGAGCTGGGATGGCTACATTTTTAAGAGGAGGGGGGTGATGTAATGACAGTAGAGTCAACCTGTAGAGCGAGTGGTCTACGGCCAGCGAGAAGGTTCAGGAATAGGGGGTGGCCATGGGACAGGGGCGTGGCCACGGGACCGGGGCGTGGCCACACACCAAATATGAGGGAAATGCACGGAAAATTCGTGGCTGTTGCAGTGGGGTCTTCGCCTGTTTGAGGGTAAGCACATGGCTCCTTAAATAAATAAATCCTTCCCAGGACAAGTGCGTCGAAGTCGTCTTTACAATAATATTTTTGTCCATTTCTGCTGCTTGTTGAAGGTTTCCCTGTGTCGTGTTGGTCATGGGGGTTGTTTACCCAAACTTCACTGCAGCATAATAGAGAAAACAAATCTGAAAGTAAATGTTGTGACTTTTGTCGAAGTCAAAAGAAACCCTGGTAATGTTTAGAATGTTTTATATAATTTAATAGAAGTCATATATATAATCATATGAGTCCACCACAGTGGATATGATCGATGATGGCATTGAATGACTGTTGACTTACTGCTGAGCAATACTCAGTTTATCACCCACAGATAGATAATATTCCTCTGCCATAGGAATGTGCAATTTTAACAAACCAGCTCAGGATCAGCAATGGAGATTAGCACATATTGCGTGGTTGTTGTAAGCAGGGGCATGATTTCACTTGGCTTGGTTTGGATTTTTTTTTATACAATATACAAATTTTATATTATATTATACAAATAATTAAACAATGGCTCACTTTTAATATTAGTGCACAGATTGAATTTCGTCGACGAACCCATTTTCAATTTTATTTGTTACAGGGGGAAAGAGGTTTCCGGGGTGGAAGCAATGTAGAGGCGACCGAGTGTGAAGGCGGGACAACTGTAGGCTGGGTCCCATGGGCCGGAGGGGCCCAGGTGCTGAACTACAAAGAGGGGGGATAGGAATCCCTTGGGACCAGGCGCCGTGCCAACCACACTACACCACTGGGGGAAAGGTGAGGAAACCTAGGGGCAGAATGTTGAGTGGAATGACTGGAGAAGTGAATGACTGTTTGACTGTCACAATGTTCCCAATGTCCAAACAAAAATCTAAACTATATTTTATTTTACCAGATTAGGCCCACTGAGCTGTATAGCTCTTTTTCAAAAGCGACCTGGCAACAAATGATAGCTCAATGAAGTGGCTAATCAATTGGAAATGTATCGCAGCCAAATACTCTGAATGCGTAATGTTGTTTCTAAATGTGGAGGGAAAAACTTTAAGACCCAGACACATATTCACGCACTTAAGGGGAGAATATGCAAACTCCAAATGTACAGGCGTCAGGATCAGGATAAGACCCACGACCTTCTGCATACCAGGCGATGTACTTAACATCTCACCACCGCGGTGCTCCCAGTGTGCTAGAGCGATGGACATGATGAATAAAAGCTGAAGGAGGTGAACTAGGTGGAGCAGCATTGCATATTTTAGTGGGGACTGCACAGTATCGTGACGTTCCACAGGCATAGTTTCAGCAGCAGCCATAGTTAACCTACTGCTGGATAAAGCCCTCCCAAAGCCACCACATCTCTTGCAATCCCACACTGTAAGAATGCACATAGCACCTGCACACGAGCCGGTTCCATCGCTCCGGCTTATCAGTGGACGTCCTGTTGGACACATCACATTCCTAGGCTGCCACTCCATCATTTTTCTTGACGGTCGGCAGTCTCCCCTTCTAAGTGACATGCCCTGCCCAATACCCACTTACTGGGCTGCAGAGATGGTGTGCTGGCCTCCGGCTTTGCTGTTGCCGTGCTGTCGGTGTGCCGGTCTGCAGACGTGCGTGGTGGGGAGGTAGGTGAACTTCTCGTCGGTGTTGTTGTCGCCGTTGTAATGTTGAGCGTTTTGCTGTCCTTTTTGGAGGAATTATTTGTCTTGTCTGCAATGCACATGAACGTAATTTTGAAACAATTACTGATATGTCTATTTTACTTGAAGTGCCGCACGTTGCTGTGTTTGAAACACCAAGTGGAGGAGAACAATCGAGGAGGATTGGATTTTAACAATGGTATATTGATTGGATCCCTTGAATCAATATAATAATGATAATAGCATCGCCATATATTTATCCATAAAATCCTCACTGAGCCTCAAGACTCTTATTTCAAGGGAGTTCTGTAAATACTTGCTTGGCAAAAACAATTAAGGGTCATAATTGATGTTTGAGTAAGGTTGTGTTCATAACACGCGGCTCATTTATGACTATTAAACTATGAAACATTTATTTTAAAAAATGTACCAGGTAAGGCCCACTGAGCTATATAGCTCTTTTTCACAAGCGACCCAGCCACAAAAGATAGCTCAATGAAATGGCTTATAACTTGGAAATGTGTAGTGGCATAATGTGCACACGGTTTGCAAACAGTTGCATTCATGTACGGGGACGCAAACAGTGAGGTCAGGTCAGGACGAGCAGGTGCGAGTGTGTGGCCTGTGAGACAGCAGACAGAGAGACGCCAGCAATTAAGGAAAGAGGCAGTGATTGGATGGCTGCAAATGCGGGGTAGGCACCATGGAGGTGAGAAATAGAGGCGATAAGGGGGGGGGGGGGAGAGACGGCTTAATGAGGGCCACATGAGGGCACTTAATGAGGAGGGGATATATGGGGAACGTGTGAAGCAACGGAGAGAGCTGGTTGGAGATGAAAAAGTGAAGAGAATTCAAGAAAAGTCCGGGACCTCGCCCTCCACACCTCGTCCTCCCCAGTGGTGTTGGCTGATCCCCCGCTGGGGGCACGGGTGAGGTTGGAGGTGCGGGTATAGACAGGCTTGCAGTGGAGAGGCTAGCAGAATCTTTAGTCTGAGTATGATGGGATAGCCGGGTGAGAAGCTAGCGGAGTATTTAGAGAGAGAGTCCGTGATGGGTTAGGAAAGTGGAGAGTAACAGGCTAGCGGAGCAAGAGAGCGTAAGCTCGAAGTAGCAGGCTAACAGATGAGGAGAGGAGGAGTTCGCGACAGGAGTACATGGTGTTGAACGTGAGGAACATCCATGTGGGATGCTGCGAATAAAGTGGTACAGGAGAATAAACTCCACACTTCAAATGTATCGCAGCCAAATACTCTAAACGTATGTTGATTATAAATTTGGAGGGAAAAACTTGAGGACCCGCATACAAATTCACGCGATTAAGGGGAGCACATGCAAACTCCAAATGTGCAGGAATCAGGGTCGGGATAAGACCCACCCCACGGCCTGCTGCATACCAGGCGACACACTTAACATCTCACCACCGCGGTGCTCCCAGTGTGCTAGAGCGATGGACATGAGGACTAAAGGCTAAAGGAGGTGAATTATGTGGAGCAGCAATGGACATTGTGGAGGGGCCTCTACAGTATCGTGATGTTCCACAGACATAGGGTCAGCAGCAGCCATAGTTAACCCACTGCTACATAAAGCCCTCTCCAATCCACCACATCTCTTGCAATCCCGCACTGCAAAAATCCACATAGCACCTGCACACGAGCTGGTTCCATCACTCCGTCTTATCAGTGGACGTCCTGTCGGACGCGTCACATTCCTAGGCTGCTACTCCGTCCTTATCTTTGACGGTCGGCAGTTTTCCCTTCTAAGTGACATGCCCTGCCAAATATTCACTTACTGGGCTGCAGAGATGGTGTGCTGGCCTCCGGCTTTGCTGTTGCCATGCTGTCGGTGCGCCGGTCTGCAGACATGCGTGGTGGGGAGGTAGGTGATCTTCTCGTCAGTGCTGTTGTCGCCGTCGTAATGGTGAGCGTTTTGCTGTCTTTTTCGGAGGAATTATTTATCTGGTCTGCAATGCACATGAACGTCATTTTTAACCAATTACTGCTACTTCTATTTTACTCCTTCTGTTACCAATTGAAGTGTCGCACGTTGCTGTGTTTGAAACACCAAGTGAAAGGGAACAATCGAGGAGGATTGGATTTTAACAATGGTATATTGATTGGATCCTTTGAATCAAAATAATACTGATAATAGCATTGCCTTATATTTGTTCATAAAATCCCCACTGAGCCTCAAGACTCTTTTTTAAAAGAAGTTCTGTAATTACTTGCTTGGCCAAAACAATTATTGAGGGTCATAATTGAGGTATGAGTAAGATTGTGTTCATAACACGCGGCCCATTTTCTGACTATGAAACTATGAAACATTTTTTTTTTACCAGGTAAGGCCCACTGAGCTATATAGCTCTTTCTCAGAAGTGACCCAGCTACAAATGATAGCTCAATGAAATGGCTTATCAGTTGGAAATGTGTAGTGGCGTAAGGCACGCAGGGTTTGCAAACAGCAGTTGCATTCATGTACGGGGTTGCAAACAGGTCAGGTCTGGACGAGCAGGTACGAGCCTGTGGCCTGGGAGACAGCAGACAAGGAGATGCCAGCAATTAGCGAAAGAGGCAGTGATTGGCTGGCTGCAAATGCAAACGCGGGGTAGGTGCGACGAAGGCGAGAGATAGAGGCGATAAGGGGGGAAGAGAGACGGCTTAATGAGGGCCACATGAGGACACTTAATGAAAAGTGGGATATAAGGGGAAAGTGTGAAGCAATGGAGATTGTTGGTTGGAGATGAAGAAGTGAAGAGAATTCAAGACACGTCCGGGACCTCGCCCTCCACACCTCGTCCTCCCCAGTAGTGTTGGCTGATCCCCTGCTGGGGGCACGGGCGAGGTTGAAGGTGCGGGTGTAGACAGGATAGCAGTGGAGAAGAGGCTAGTGGAATCTTTAGTCTGATTGTGATAGGCTAGTGGGGTGAGAAGCTAGCAGAGTATACAGAGAGAGAGTCCGTGACTGGCTCAGAGAACGGGGAGTAACCGGCTAGTGGAGCAAGAGAGAGTATGCTCGAAGTGCCTGGCTAGTGGAGGAAAAGAGGAAGAGTTCGCGACAGGAGTACATGGTGTTGAACGTGAAGAGCGTCCGTGTGGGATGTTGCAAATAAAGTGACACAGGAGAAAAAGATAAAGTTGTCCGAGTGAATAAACACCACACTACAAATGTATCTCAGCCAAATACTCTAAACGCGTGATGTTGTTTATAAATGTGGAGGGAAAAACTTGAGGACCCGGATACAAATTCACGCGATTAAGGGGAGAACATGCAAACTCCAAATGTGCAGGCATCAAGGTCGGGATAAGACCCACCCCACGGCCTCCTGCATACCAGGCGACGCACTTAACATCTCACCACCGCGGTGCTCCCAGTGTCCTAAAGCGATAGCCATGAGGACTAAAGGCTAAAGAAGGTGAACTAGGTGGAGCAGCAATGGATATTTTATAGGGGACTGCACAGTATCGTGACATTCCACAGGCATAGTTTCAGCAGCAGCCATAGTTAACCCACTGCTGGATAAAGCCCTCCCCTAGCCACCACATCTCTTGCAATCCCCCACTGTAAGAATCCACATAGCACCTGCACACGAGCTGGTTCCATCGCTCCGTCTTATCAGTGGACGTCCTGTCGGACGTGTCACACACCTAGGCTGCCACTCCGTCATTATCCTTGACGGTCGGCAGTCTTCCCTTCTAAGTGACATGCCCTGCCCAATACCCACTTACTGGGCTGCAGAGATGGTGTGCTGGCCTCCGGCTTTGCTGTTGCCGTGCTGTCGGTGCGCTGGTCTGCAGACGTGCGTGGTGCGAAGGTAGGTGATCTTCTCGTCGATGCTGTTGTCGCCGTCGTAATGTTGAGCGTTTTGCTGTCTTTTTCGGAGGAATTATTCGTCTTGTCTGCAATGCAGATGAACGTAATTTTGAAACCATTGCTGCTACGTCTATTTTACTCCTTCTGCTCCCAGCTGAAGTGCCACACGTTTGCTGTGTTTGAAACACCAAGTGGAGGAGATCAATCGAGGAGGATTATATTATAACAATGGTACATTGATTGGATCCCTTGAGTCAAAATAATAATGATAATAGCATCGCCTTATATTAATCCATAAAATCCTCACTGAGCCTCAAGATGCCTGTTTTAAGGGAGTTCTGTAATTACTTGCTTGGCTAAAATAATTATTGAGGGTAATAATTGATGTTTGAGCAAGATTGTGTTCATAACACGTGGCCCATTTATGACTGTTAAACTATTAAGCATTTATTTTATAAAATGTACCAGGTAAGGCCCACTGAGCTATATAGCTTTTTTTCAGAAGCGACCCAGCCACAAATGATAGCTCAATTAAATGGCTTATCACTTGGAAATGTGTAGTGGTGTAACGTGCGCAGGGTTTGCAAACAGCAGTTGCATCCATGTACGGGGTCACAAACAGTGAGTTCAGGCCAGGACGAGCAGGTGCGAGCCTGTGGCCTGTGAGACAGCAGACCAAAGAGACTCCAGCAATTAGGCAAAGAGGCAGTGATTAGATGGCTGCAAGTGCAAACGCGGGGTAGGAGCCACGGAGGCGAGAGATAGAGGCGATAAGGGGGGGAGAGACGGCTTAATTAGGGCCACATGAGGGCACTTAATGAGGAGGGGAATCTAAGAGGAACGTGTGAAGCAACGAAGAGAGTTGGTTGGAGATGAAGAAGTGAAGAGAATTCAAGACACGTCCGGGACCTCGCCCTCCACACCTCGTCTTCCCCAGTGGTGTTGGCTGATCGCCCACTGGGGGCACGGGCGAGGTTGGAGGTGCGGGTGTAGACAGCCTAGCAGTGGAGAAGAGGCTAGTGGAATCTTTAGTCTGATTGTGATAGGCTAGTGGGGTGAGAAGCTAGCAGAGCATACAGAGAGAGAGAGAGAGTCCGTGACTGGCTCGGAGAGCGGGGAGTAACAGGCTAGTGGAGCAAGAGTGAGTAAGCTCGAAGTAGCTGACTAGTGGAGGAAAAGAGGAAGAGTTCGCGACAGGAGTACATGGTGTTGAACGTGAGGAGCATCCGTGTGGGATGTTGCGAATAAAGTGATACAGGAGAAAAATATGAAGTTGTCCGCGTGAATAAACACCACACTACAAATGTATCTCAGCCAAATACTCTAAACGTATGTTGATTATAAATGTGGAGGTTAAAACTGGAGGACCCGCATACAAATTCACGCGATTAAAGGGAGAATATGCAAACTCCAAATGTGCAGGCGTCAGGGTCGGGATAAGACCCACCCCACGACCTCCTGCGTACCAGGCGACGTACTTAACATCTCACCACCCCGGTGCTCCCAGTGTGCTAGAGCGATAGGCATGAGGTCTAAAGGCTGAAGCAGGTGAACTAGGTGGAGCAGCAATGGATATTTTATAGGGGACTGCACAGTATCGTGACGTTCCACAGTCATAGTTTCAGCAGCAGCCATAGTTAACTCACTGCTGGATAAAGCCCTCCCCTAGCCACCACATCTCTTGCAATCCCGCACTGCAAAAATCCACATAGCACCTGCACACGAGCTTGTTCCATCGCTCCGTCTTATCAGTGGACGTCCTGTCGGACGCGTCACACACCTAGGCTGCCACTCCGTCATTATCCTTGACGATCGGCAGTCTTCCCTTCTAAGTGACATGCCCTGCCAAATATTCACTTACTGGGCTGCAGAGATGGTGTGCTGGCCTCCGGCTTTGCTGTTGCCGTGCTGTCGGTGCGCCGGTCTGCAGACGTGCGTGGTGGGGAGGTAGGTGATCTTCTCGTCGGTGTTCTTGTCGCCGTCGTAATGGTGAGCCTTTTACGGTCTTTTTCGCAGGAATTCTTTCTCTTTTCTGCAATGCACATGAACGTAAGTTTTAAACAATTGCTGCTCCTCTTTCTGCTACCAGTTGAAGTGTCGCACGTTGCTGTGTTTTAATCACCAAGTGGGGGAGAACATTCGAGGAGAATTGGATTTTAACAATGGTGCATTGATTGGATCTCTTGACTCAAAATAATATTAATAGCATCGCCTTATATTTATCTATAAAATTCACTGAGCTGTACAGCTCTTTTGTCACAAATGATAGCTGAATGAAATGGCTTATCACTTGGAAATGTATTGCAGCCAAATACTCTAAACGCACGTTGATTCTAAATGTGGAGGGGAAAAACAGATCACCTTGAGAAAATCCATACGATCACTGCGAGAACATAAAACTACCAATATACAGGTTTCAGGGTCGGGATCGAACTTACGACCTCCTGTAAACCAGGCGACGTCGTTGACATCTCAGTTGGACCACGGTATGTTTTAGAGCAAAATCACAACATTGAGGACGGTTTCATGACACACATTTTACTCGCGCGATGTGACCCGAACCTTAAATTTAGATTATTTTAGACGCGAAAGCCTCCGTGTTAACTTTATGACTCGTGGCGGTTTGGCACGTGGGAAGGAAACAGAGTACCCAGAGAAAACCCTACACATACGAGTTGGGTGCCAGTCAGCACTGCGGTCTGATGGCCCCCTCCCAGCCCCGCGCCTACAACACCTGGCAGGCCTCGGTGGTCATCCATCCCAGTGCCAACGAGACACAAGCCTGCGTAGCCTTTGAGATCCGACGAGCTCAGGAGCACGCTTCAGGTAGTTTGGTCGTGGGGTTAAATTTGAAGGGAAGACTGTTGTAACCACATGCGGGGTCAACTCCAGCAATCACCAATACAGGGTTGATTAAGAAATTAAATGGAGTGACTTCTAAAAAAAAAAATTGGGCCGCAAGTTGGTGGCGTGTTGGTAACCCTGTGTCTCATGGCAAGAAGGGCCTTGGTACGATTCCCGACTCGGGGGCCTATCTGTGCAGAGTTTTTTATGTTTCCCCCCTTGTTTTGCATGGGATTTCTCCGGGTTAACCAGTTTTCTCCCATGGCAAGACAAAGCTCCCACTGCGTGGGGCAGCTGCTCAGATTTTCTCTCTCCATGAACTTCTTCTTGTTCGTGTTTTTGTTTTTTTGTTTGTTGTGGTTGCACCCGATTCAAGAGCCGAATGGCTCACAGGGCTATACCAAAATAAATAAACTGAAACTGAAACTGAATGCCACTCTATGTGGGTCTCCATATTCTTGGGTCTTTCGGTAAAGTCACGGAGATCGGTTAAATGAAAATAACAAAAAGAGTAACAAAAAACTACGACGCTTCGATCGCAACACGAGCAATCGTCATCAGGAGAGAAAAAAATAGGGGGAAATCTGTTGAGGCAGGATGTTTTAAAGGTTTGTTTTACAGCTTTAAGTCAAGATTTAAACTTGGGTCTCTTATACCATTGCTTATGGTCCACCGGTGGAGAACAGCACCACTTGCTTAATCAGGGATACACTGACGTTTATTATACGTGTGTCTATTGTTGAGCCGAATCCATCAGTCCAGGTTGTAAATATTTTCTGATTTGGTACCTGGATTCATTCGGGTATTGGAAATGCAGGATCTCAGCCGAGCTCGCTCATTGCTCTGACATGTTCGTTATTGACCCTTCTAGCCACCCAGGGTGACAGGGGTTTTATTTATTTATCCGATTTCCTCTCGACTTAAATTTTTTTTTGCTTGGATCAACAAATCGAGAAAGCTCTATCTCATTATGCGGCACAACTGTGTACTGCTGGGGTCATGGGTCCCTTCCCAGCGCAAATCAATCTTGGCAGTGGACAAAATAATTTCACCTTGACACAGCCACGTCTCACAGCAGAGACAATGAAGGCACCCTTGCCACGAGATAAAAATCCGAGGTGAGGTCAACTAAACCTTATTATACCACCGTCGAATCAACAATAGGACGATTGTTGCCATCATCACCGTTCTGGTTTGGTATGGTGGAGACGCAGAGATCCGCTGGGTTGATATCACGATTCTTAAGCTCAAAATGCACGCAATCAAATGAATTGTGTAAGAAGCGATGTTTTCGTCTATGTATGTATTATGTAATGAGTTCACATCAGCCTTGCAGCCAATAGAGGTGCTACTAATCCACACCAGCGTTAATTCATCGATCGTTGACTCGCTCCATCCCCCAATGCCGTCGTAAACCGATGAATGCGACCTGTTTGGTCGGCACCCCTCGGTGCAGTAAATTCAGCAGCAGTTATTGCGTTAAGTTATACTGGTGTCTGCCATGGGAATGTGGAGTTTCCACCAGAGCAACAACAACAAAAACAACGAACAAGATGCGAGACATTTGAAGTGTTCTCCTCTCGTATGGAAGGTTTTCTCTGAGAACATCGGCTTCCTCTCCTGTTACAAACACGAACAGTAGTCATCCAAAACCTGACCCTCTTCAAAATCAAGTCTTAAAACTCGGTGAGGCTTCTCCTGGGTGAACTCATTTCAAAAAGGAAAGGACTGCTTACAATGACAAAAATACAACGTAAATCTGCTCAAGTGAAACACAATATTGAGATACCAGAGTATATACAGCATGCAAAGCGCTCGCCACAAATGAACCACGACATCTTGCTGATCCCGTCAACGAACATAAATCATCACGCAAACTACGGTCATCCTCGCAGCAGCTCTTAGTTAGCCATCTAACAAAAACGGTCACTGCATTGCGCACTTTCAGATGTGCCTCTGCGGCCATCTGGAACGTTCTTCCTTCTGATATCAGGAAGCCACTGGAGCTATGCACTTTTAAATATATATTGAAAACGAATTTCTTTAGAACTGCTTTTTGTGTTTAATGTAGTGTCCTTCCTCTGAACCTCTGATTAGCACGGTTGGCTATGTACGGTGTGAAATAATTTCAAAATATACACATACATGCAGCATCATTGTTTATAACTGCACAGAACCCACATCCTCGTGCTAAGCACGGTTATTGTTGTTTGGGTTAAGCGTCCTCCTTGCCTCCTGATGCCCTGCTGCTGCCGACTGTGATATTTCTCACAAGTGGTCGTCCTTTGTAAACCCGAGGCATCGCGTGACTCGGTTACGATGCGCTATCGGACTAAACGCCGTGCATCCTGAGATGGCGTGTTGTTTTTTTGCATCGTTATCATTCCTCTACGGAACTTCCCCTGACTGATTTGCCACGGGTTATCATTAACACTGCATGAGCCGTGCACAGACATTATCGGGGAGGGGAAAACTGATTTCTTTGACGCAATTGCAGGCAAAGGAGGTTACATGTCTGAGAGGATGACCCACTTGGAGATGGAACGATGGGATTAGCTCGTGTGCAGTGGCAAGATGTATCATAGCAAATGGGACCATGATGGAACGGCGACGATGCTGGGGCCTTCATATATCAGTTAATAGAACATGGATGATGGTGGTAAAGGTAATGATACCTAATGTTCCTCCATGAGAAAAGCATGCCTTAATGCATGGCACGTTACCCATAACACAGAGCTCAATTTGAAAAACAAATTCTGATTCTGACGGGAGTGAAAACGATCAAAGTAAGGATGTAACACCACCTAAAATAACTGATGCAATGTAACTTAAACTATTAAAAAAACTAAAACTATTTTGTTTTGTATTTTACCCGATATACAGCTCTTTTTCAGAAGCGACCTGGCCACAAATGATCGCTCAACGAGGTGGCTTGTGGAAAGTTATAGCAGCCAAGACTCAAGGTAGACGGTATGAGGTCATCGCAGCCAGTTCTACCGATGCTTCCTTCTGCCAAATGTTACGACGATGTTACCCAATTGACACCCACCTCCCAACGAATCCGTTTACAATCTCCCACTCTTCTGGCTTCAATGCTTCCCTTTGGTCACTGGCATCTGGGTGCCACTTCAGGCCCCTTGGTACTGTTTCAGTAACCTGACCTCAATTCTGCACAGGTGCCACATCTATCACAACATCCTTTACCCAATTATGTCTAGAGTGCTCTCTCTTGGCCACGATCTGTTCCGAACGTCCAAGTTGTTCATCCTATCCTGCCAAACTATGGAACAGCTTCACCTCACTGGTTGCCATAAAATATATATTATTTGTATATGGAGATACAGAATGTATGGTGATTATATTACATTGCAGAACATTGACATATTATACGCTAATTGGCAGGACGACAGTTATGCTTGCCTGCTGCACGTATTGGTTTCTATACTTCTGTTACCTTAAATTAACAGGGCAGGTTAACCTCTGTAGGCCCCACTCCTTCCTCTTTAGGACACACCCCTTCCTCTTTAGACTCCGCCTCATCGGAGGAGCGGGTGTTAATAAGGAGGTGCGGAGTTAATTTGCTTAATTTGGCTTGTTTTACCTCTGAGGACTGCACGTTATTGGTTTCATCGTCAATGCTTTCTATGGAGCATCGAGAGGCTAATTCTATTTTATTCTTGTGCATGGCAATTTGCCCAGGAGCTAGATACCTTTGTCGATGTTTGCTAGCCACGAGAGAGCTTCAGGAGAGAGTTCACACAGTTGTGTTATTTCACCTCTACTGAAATAACGCAGATCTACAATGATTTACTAAATGGGCCTTAGAGGTTTATTGAAACGCCAACAGAAGTCGTTATATATCACTTTCTGGAGACTGTTCTTTGATGCCAAAGTGGTGTCTTGGTTACTTTAAGAGTTCCACATGGAAATGTTTGGCATCTCATCAGGCGACACCGAGAGTGCATTACGTACATTTGTTGGTGATAGTAGGAAACTTAGGTGTGAATTACCATTTCGGTCAAAGCAGAAAGCATCATATTTTTTTCCAGATGTGAAGCCTGATTGTATCAATCCCAGAACACTGCGTCCGCATTTTCTATGCATCGTTACACGAGGCAGGTACACCTCCTTTTCCTTGACCCATCCATATCTGCAAACAGAGAAGTTGCACACGGTTTTTAATGTTGCGTAAATGAGAACTGGTCTTGAATGTGACACTGTACTAAATGTTATAGAAACTGCCAGTCATTATTCAGAGGGTAAACTTTACAATGAAGATATACATCCATCAACGAACAACAGTCTGGAGTAACTCAGTTGCTCAGTTGCTGGCACAATGGCCCTATAATCATGAAGTGGTAAGTTCAAATCCCAGTCAGGATCTCTTCAGTCGATTGTCATCATCGTCATCATCATCACCCACCTCCAGGGTGGGTGACATGGGTACCATGTGACGAGACTGCACCACGAGAACATAACAAATGAGAGAGGCCCTTTTGGTACATCTGGTTCGTTCGGTTGTGAGAAGCAGATCGATTCTGGAATCACATCGAGTCATCACTTGAAGAGTCTCAGGGAATCTTCTTCCACCACGTGCCACGTGGCCAGCTTGTTCCAGACTGTCACCACTCTCTGCATAAAGAAGACTCGTCGTCCAGTGGACAAACTGGTTTCAGGCATTATAACATAGAATTGACATCAATGGCTCAGTATCGTTAAAAGAGGTGAGTATCGCACAACATTCATTGCATAGGTAAACATTCACCTCTATAATATTTGACACGTATGACACCTACGTTAATACATCCATGGCTTTTCCAAGCCATCTCTAACCATCCATGTTATGATTCATAGCGATAATCAGACTGAGGTCAGGTTATCGGACACTTCCGAAATGCCTGTCAGGATACCATACACGATCTATAATCTGTAGTGCTCCTGTTTCAGGTTCTGATAACCTCCATTGTAGAGCAAGGGATTTACAGCTTTACTGGGAGACAGCGAGCAGTTACACAAACCTCAGTAGACACAACACAGTATCAGCATCGGATGGCTTTAGAACAAGATTCTACTTTCATCTCATTCGCACCGTTTAGTCACAAATGCATTTTAACTTTAAAATAATATTTGTTTATTACACTGCTCGCTCTCTTTCAGTGGCACTGTAAATCTTCCTTCCGATATATAAGGAGGCCACTGGAGCTTTTAACTTTTAAAATCTAGATTGAAAACCGGATTTCTTTAGAAATGCTTTTTGTGTTTTCTTGGTTTCCTTCCCCCGGACCTCCAATTAGCAAGGTTGGCTACGTGCTGTGCGAAAGAAGTTCAACATACACACAAAATAAATCTCTTGCTACGCAGTGGAAGCTCTCAAAGCGTGACGTGGGGAAAATGTTTGCTTGACAAACTCTGTCCGATCAGCCCGACTGGCATTATGGAAGTGTTTGACCATGATTGGGGACCACATCGTGCGGACGGAGTGTCTCACCTGCACGCCTCGAAGTGTCCTTCTTTCATTGCCCTCACCAGCTCGTCTTTAGTGACCAGGGAAGCCCCCAGGCTCACACACGCAGCCTCTGCGTCCTCAAACGAAAACCAGTTCATCCCTGCCACTGCCTCCACGTGGAACACGCCGAATATCCGACACGGCGAGCTCTTGAACTCTGTTGGAGGAGGTGGGCGTACACGTCATAGGGAACTTGGGGATTTTCAGGGTTATGGTCAATTTTTTAATAATTGTCGAATTAAAGCCTCCCCATGATGTGCCAGTCACAGGGTCGGTCAGTGCAGGGCGCCAAAGTGGTAAGATGTGAACTACCTCGCCTGTAATACAGGAGGTCGTGAGTTTGATCCTGACCCTGACGTCTGTATGTGTTGGAGTTTGTGTATACTCCTCTGGACGCGTGTATTTATCTCCAGGTACTCCAGTTTTTCCCCTCCACGTTTATAAATATGCTTTTAGAGTCTTTGGCTGCTATACATTTCGAAGTGATAAGCCACTTCATTGGGTTATAATTGTTGATATCAGGTCACTTCTCAAAAATATATATTTAGATCATTGGTCCTTACCTGGTAAAATATAAACATTTGTTTTAGCAGGTTGGTGATGGGGGAGGGCTTTAAACCGGCTCAGACACCATTCACCAGAACTCAGGTTGTCAGGGTAATGGCGCAATTTCGCGATTCATTGTGACATCACTCCATCCCCAATAATGCATGATACACCATATATATCTGCTACATACCTTGTTACAATAGTGTAGTGACGTATATTGAGTCACTACGGCGTTTAGCGCCAGCTACTGATACAAGAATGGAACTGTACGTGTTGGAGCCTCTCTCTAGAACCAGAGTATGTATGGCATGGAAGGGGGCTCTAGGGTGCATGGTTCTGGTGACTGTCAGAGAGAGGTCAGTTAAGGAAGTGACAGTCTGGGTGAACCCAAAAGGGCATGTGACCAGGAAAGGATAGTGAGGGGGGCCAAAAGGTGGCGAGAGGGACACGTGATGTATGGCCCAGAACCTTCTAGTAGGATCCAGAAGGAGGCATGGCCGAGGGCAGAGCCAGGCCACGCTCAGGGGCATAAGAGAGAGGTCCCAAGAGCCGATCGGGGGCTGTCTTCTGGAATGTAACCCACCGTGCTACGTCTCTTCAGTCTTCGGTCGTCACGTTCGGCATCGTGGGTGAGGCAGTATGTTACTGCCCTGGCCCAGTTATGTACTTATCCCGTTGGGGTTTAGTTACCCATGGTAGTTACCACCTATGTCGTTATCACATACGTTTATGTTGTCACCCTGTTGGGGTTTTAGAATAAACGTGTTGCCTCCAAAGTCAGGTGTGTGTCTCCGCGGAACCCACGACAGTAGTGTAATTTGCGACTTCCGCGACACGTCGTGTAGAGGGTACTCTTCTTTATTTCACGTACAGGCACAGCACAGGCGAACGTTATCTTCTTCCTCTTCCAAGTACACACTTTAGACATTAACGTTCTACAGACTACACACACGGTTGATCACACGGTGGGTTCCGCCCGTCCACTCCGGGCCTCGCCGCTGGCTGACGGCGTGCCGGTAAGGGCGGTGGAACTCCGCAGGCGATCTGCCATGTGGCTGAACGACAGAAAGAGATGACGGCGAGCAGCGATGCAGTCCGGACCGAAGACTCCCCACACCGACTCCGAGTCCTCCTCCGCCTCCGCTTATATTGCCGCAGGCGCGGTTAGGCTCCGCCTCCGGCCATGCCCTCTCGCGGAACCTTCTAGCCGTTTCCCGGAGTTTCTCAGCCAGCCCCGCCCTTTACCTTTGGCCCAGATACCTCTCCTTTTGGGATTGGATGATGTTTATAGTGGTGATTGTAGCCGTGCTTCCCTTTTCCAACCAGTAGGTGTCACTATGTCATTACAATAGTAATGGGATTCACTGCATTGGGTCAGATATCTATACCTGTCAACCACTTATCAGTGCCAACCTTATTACAGACAAATTCAGACATTATTCGTCACCCTGTGCCCTTATACATCTCAACGTTCATCCTAAAAAGTTCCATCACAAGAGAGAAACACAAAAAATAAACAAAATAAATGTTTTGCCCGTATTGAAATGGTTGTACGCCGTATGGACCTGAAAACTCAATTTCTCGGAACAAGAATATGGGTAAACCATATGTGTTGACAGGTATGGATATCATTCATCGCTGATGTTAGCCGTGACCGGAAAAAAAAACTCAGGTCACCGGGTCCAAAGCACGGTCCAAGACCAGAGTACAATAAATGAGTAACTGATGTTTAGGTAAACACAGTTCACCAGGCCATATCTAGAAGGCTAAAAGGAACGAATGCTATTTCAACTAACTTTAAAATATATATAAGTAAGGGCCCCTGAGCTACATAGCTCTTTTTTTTAGAAGTGACCTGGCCAAAAAAGATAGCTCAACGAAGTGGCTTATCATCACGTGTAAACTCATAGGAGCCAAATACTCTCAACGCATGTTTTGAAATGTGGAGGGAACAACTGGAGGACCCAGGGATGAATCCACGTGACCACGGTGGATAACGTGCAAACGACAAACTACAGGCTTTAGGGCCGGGATTGAATCCACGACCTCCTGTATACCCGGTGAGGTATTTGACATGAGGAGACCCGGTCTTTCCCTACACTTCCAGCGATTGTTTGGACACCGCCCCCAAGTATTGCAGAGTGAATATCTCTCACGTGAGCTTGAACAAATGATCAGATGTGGCCAGCTTATGCGGTCTTCCGTTGCCTCAAGCGGAGAAGTCCGAGAGCACTTGTAGATACATTCTAAGTCGGATACCGTGGGAGCAGGCGCAGCGCGGATTGAGTGTGTCGAGGAGGTGCCCCAAGGATCATGAGAAGTTGGGCAACGCCGTAGCACAAAGATTGGGATTTTTGGCACGAGCCAAAGTAAGAAGAGTGAATGGTTTTCTTCACACAGTTGGAGCAATCGGAGGCCCTGTCAAGAGATGTTTTGTTGTTCTTCCCCATGTGCGCTTGTGCGGTAAAGGCCGTGAATAAAATACGAATTAAAACTGGAAAGTCACAGCGTCGGAGTACTTCAAGCCCTTAAACGCGAGTTCACAAACGTGCGACTAATCCGTTTCATCCGAGCTGTGAGCCCGCGCGGTCCTTTGTGGTAATGGCACAGTCAAGCCGTGTGTCCTGTCAGCAAAGCGGGGGGGCAGACTGCTAGAGGGGTTGGAATGTGCCGTATGGGATTCACATCCGGGAGACGGAGCGATTCAATCAGCAGCTCGTGCGCAGGCACGAGGGTGGGTTATTGCATCGCAAGACCCTGAGAGGTGATTACGGATTGGGGAGGACTTCATCCAGCAGTGAATTGGCCATGGCTGGTGATGATGATGATGATGGTGGTGATGATGATGATGGTGACATAACATACCATTACATCATGTCGACATACGTGACTGTATTCACTATAATTCATAGGATTATGCAACACTGTGACATTTACATATATAACAATACTTTAAGAAAAAAATAACAATTAATGCAACGAAAGCCTTATTCCCTGGTATGTATGAATTGCCACTGTAGCAACAATGCACGAAACAACATAAATACATAACTTTTCTACACATTTTACTAAGACGTGCATTTCTAATCCGCATGCTAAATTCATGTATTCGCAACGCACACATTATAGAGTACATTTGTTAAGAATTGGTGCCAAATGTAAGCCACGAGATACTGTTGATTGAACAGAGGCACGAAGTGAGGGTGGAGGTTGACAGAAACTTACTCCGATGTTTTACCTGCAGTGGGATCGAACCGGCGACCTCTGCATTGCATGTCCGGTGTGCTAACCATTACACCACGGTGGCTTTCTGGTGGTCTCAACATCACACTCCACCGTGATGATAGGGACTGAAGTGTTTAAGTCTTCAGCGTGAGGCGAACAGCGATCGACCTCTGTATGTATCTCCCTGTGAGTCATAGACTCGACTATATTCGAGCCAAATTACAGCTTTCACGCCCTTCTCAAGCAGAATTCAGAATGTTTATCAGTCAGCAATGGTCGTCGAAACATGTTCGATATTACACGTATTTGTATTACACGTGGTATTATCCTTCCTTTGTTAGAAAGATATTCTTCATTCGAATATTAGGAAGCCACTGAAGCTATGCACTTTTAAATCTAGATTGAAAACTCATTTCTTTAGAACTGCTTTTAGTGTTTAGTTTGTTGTCCTTCTGCAACGCCGATTAGCACGGTTGACCTCATACGGTGCAAAAGAAGTTCAACATACATACGTATAAGCTATGTATATAGTGGAGAATGTAATATATCCAAATATATATACTCAAACATAAATTGTCACAGATACGCATTCAGTCACAGATCCGCATTCATTTTTTGGCTAAACATTTTTGCACGTTATTCATTGCGACCAAAACGACCGATGTCTTACTTGATCTCCCGTGTTGCGCGTGAACGCCATGCGGACCGACCATCATCATGAAGAGGAGTACAAAACTCAATCTACTGCAGAGTGTCTGAAAACTACACGGTCTTCTATCCATCGTGACCTTGGACTGCCGGTGCCTCCGTGCCTCTGTCTGTCACAGCCCTCGATGTGCTTGTGACGCCCGTCGTCGGGATATTATGCGTCGCTACGAAACAGGAAAGGATTAATCTTTGGCAGCCTGCACCAAAAAGTCAGCACTTTTAATGCCGTTATCAAGCCTCTGCAGTGGCAAGATACAACTCGGGAAGATTTTAACTTTTGCTCTCCGGTGCTTTTGCGGATTTGTGCAGGGTGTTGCTCGACATGATGTTCGACGTTTTGCTCAGGCCCTCGAAAGGCTTCCCAGCATGCAAGAGCGATCCGAACACGCGACAGGAGAGATCTATCGGACAGCTTCGCAATCTTACGCAGTGGGATATAATTTTGTCATGGGACATTACTCTGAAAGAGTTTCCCTTGCTTGAAACAGGTAAAAAGTCCATGGATATTCATTGAGGTGAAAACCACATTTGCTGAAGAGGTAATAGTTCAACAAATAAACAAGCCAAGGTGTATCTCACCACGCGCGCCGGCCCGTGTGTGGGTGTTTTTGCATCGGTATATTTTTTTCCCCACAGCTATCTGTTTAAGAACCAAATCTTGGCACTGGTTCTGTTTTGCCTGAGCCTGGTTAGGAAAGTCGGGCTTGCTTAAACGAACGCTGCATGAAAACACCCAGAAGGTCCATTATAGGCTGATGAGCTGAAATGCAAATGTAATGTTTGCATCGTGTGGCAGAGCGTTGTTTATTTGTTCACGCATTCATCAACAATAAGCCAAAGAAACAGCACATAGCGTGTTTTATAGAATGCTGCTTTGTGTACACCAGTTCACTTCTCCGGATAAAAACTAAAATAATGAACTATACAGTATTTTCTATTTACCACTCTTAAAAAAAAAGATAGTTTTACCCGACAAATTATCTGGTGCAGTAGTAGGAAAATGTTTACGAACACATCGCATCTCCCATGGCCCCACATTGTTCGAAATGCCCTCTCCCTTCCCTGGAAAAAAAATGTCATGACCTGGAATGTTCGACTAATATTTTATGTTACAAGGCAGTTATAATAATGTATGAGACTAAAGATACATATATTTTGTTTTATCTCCCCCTTGATTTGCATACTGACAGGTGTAATTCATGTTTGTTGTAATTTAGTACTTTGTGATTTTTTTCTCTAAACTGGGATTATAGCTGAGACGCACCAGTAGAGCTGCCTTATCTTGCGAGTCACAGTCGCGGGGTCTTTCAATGCCCTTCTTCACTCGATGTCTTTTGCGGCTGACCCATAGATTAATACGTTTTGTCGTGCAAAGGACGGTGGTGGATACCTGTAGTCCACTGCTTTGGAAGTGGGGTTGATGGGTTTTGCGATGATCATGTCTCAGTGCTACAAGGTGGCTGGTTGATGACTGCAAAGCAGATTTCGGACCTATCTCTCGTCTCATTCCCCACATATGCATGAGTTTTCTCCAGCGTTTTACAACATTTTAAACGTAAAAAAACAGATATTCGTTTGCTGTCCATTAAGCAGGTGACAACTCAAGAGACCAGCATGAGTCTCATTTGCAAGGCTGACCTGGGGTGTTAGTTTGTCAGCAGGGGGCAATCATTGCTCCGTGTGGTCAAAACTGTTGTGCATTTGCAAGCCATATTCAACTTTGGCAAATTTTGTACCTTGACTCCGGGACGCCATGGCCGACTCTTTGGTATGGCATCAGGGCGTCTTTCGCGTCCCACTGCGAATCAGACGTGCGCGTAGCATTGCCGCGTGGTTACTGACACCCGCACGCAGCGATAATGAGGGGCGGCCGCTAAAATGGAACCGCGAAGCGCTGCATCTAGCTCGGTCCACGTCTGCCACCCGTTACAACGAAATGCGTTGAACGTCATCGCGAAACGATTGCATGTAACAGTGGTTCTTAACCTGGGGTGCAGGCACCCCCTTGTGGGTGCGAGATTCCCTTTCTGGGGGTGCGAGACATGGCCAGATCTGTATAGAAGGTAAATAATCGAAAAAACGTATTAAGCACGGGGATGTAAGTACAACTGCTTTTTTTCTTCTTTGGTTCCTTCGGTAAGGTCACGTAGAATGAGAATAAAATATTGAAAATAACACAATAACATTCTCACGACGTTTCGGCCACAACGCAAGCGGCCGAAACGTCGTGAGAATTTTATTGTGTTATTTTTATTATTTTATTCTCATTCTACGTGACCTTACCGAAAGTACCAAAGAAGATGAATCCTTGCAGTCACGAAAGCTTTAAATCGAAATACAACTGCTTTGTTCAATGCAACCTACGTATTAATATTATTCGTTTTTTTTAACAATTAAGAACCCCAGGTTGTGCAAGGCTCCAGTAAAGTTAAAGAACCACTGGCGTCGAAGTTTTTTTTCCCAGGAAGGAAGAGGCACTGGCGCGGAAAATGAATGCAGCCCGCACACGAGCGGGATCGTAGCTGGCCACGTGTGCACCCGTGCCGTCGTTTCTCAGCTAAGCCACCGCACGGAAGGATGTCCTTTGGTATATGAAACTGGCAACAGCAACAACAAAAAGTGTGTTCGGCAATAACCACCCGGGACATGCCATATGATTGATATATGTTTTTTTTCTGTCATCGAAGCTCCAAGAAATAATGGTGAACCTTAAATATTCAACGAGAGTCTTAAGAGTCTTGGGTCTCTGACCTTTGCCAATTGATGGGTATAGCCGTGGCTTTTAGGTGGCCCCCAACCATAATTTCATATTAGTCCCGGCACTGCACCCCTAACGTGGATCAATCATTCAACGTCTTTGTCATATTCTACATAGCAGATGGCTATGCATTGCCCAACAGCGTCTCGACGATATATTCGTGTCATCTTCAACGCAGGAGGCCGGCATGTGTGTCCGCACCTCCGACTCGCACGGTTGGCCACGTACGGTGCGAAATTTCAGTTCAAAATGCACTGCATACATGTGGACATCAAGGTAGGCCACAGAATGCCGTGCGATATGCAACACAAAAGCATCACCCCAACACCTCCCTGCTAATGCCCACCCAGCTCGCGTGTTCACTCTCACAACGTGCACAGAGCCACTCCACCCCCCCTCCCGCCCTGACTTGCCCGTGCGCAAAAGCAATTGTGGAAAAGGGGGATCAGGACATTGACACTAAAACCCACGAAGCACAAGTGCGCTTCGTGGCACGAGACCGTGAAGTATAAATCAGCGGCCTCTCTTGACGGATTGGTTTTGGACGTTGCTCTTCTGACGATCGTGCCCGACTCAGCGTGGAGACCGCGCTCCGGGCTCCGACCGCGGGGTCACTGGCGGGCTTTTGTTTGCACAGCGCCCCAGGCCCTGGAGTTCCCTGCCCCTTGGAGGTCAGGGACTCACGGTTGATGGAGACTTCTGAGTCCCATCTGAAAACCCCCACCAAATGTTTTTACACGGCCTACCTCCCTCGCTGTCTCTCTCTCTAGTTCTCAATCTTGTCTCGTTAAGTCTCTCTCTCTCTCCTCGGTTACCATACGATGCACTTCGTTTTCTTACATTTCTCGAGAACTGCTTTTTGCGTGCCATTTGTTGTCCTTTCTCCGCACCTCCGGTTAGCACGGTTGGCTACGTACGGTACGAAAGACGTTCAACGGACACACCTCTCATTTATATGTCTCCTTTATATGGGATCCATTGTTTCAGGGTGCCTTATGCAAAAAAAAATGTATCATTATTTATGCGAACGGCTAAACCCGAAAGCATTGCCGATATACGACCGCCGCTCCCCAAACCCCGCAAACCGCTGCCTAATGTCCACTTTGCCTGACGCTGCAATAACAGCCGAGGCTACCTCGTGAAAGCCAGGACTGCGGAATCTCGCGCGCTCGCATTTTTTTCTCGGCGGCATTTCGACACCAACAAAAACAACAACAACACGCCGCGTGTTTTTGCCGCCTTTCATCCGCTGACAGATGAACGATCGTGACTCCGCAAGTTGACTCTCTCGGTGCCCTTTGTCACACTTTGTTCATAAACAAACGTCACCATGGGGCTCTCGACGTGCGGAGTAGACGTTGTGCGAGGTGCGGTGGGAGTGGTGGTGCGATTTTTAGGACACTGTACGACGATCTCACCATCCTGAGTTTTAATTTAAGATCAAATGCCTCAGCAACTCGTATAAGACGTCCGACAGCTCTGTTCTTCACCTGAGGACGGCTGCTTGCGTTGTGGCCGAAACGTCGTGACAATTTTATTGTTTTATTATTATTTTATTCTTTCTCTACTACGTGACTTTACCGAAAGAACCACGAATATGAACCCCTGCAGTCACGAAAGCTTTAAATCGAAGGTGCTAAGATGTTCAAACACAAAATAGAAACCTTTTGTCAGGAATCAAGTCTGCATCACCCACACACACTCGTGGTGAACATGCGAACAAACATGCTCTGATAACACTATGTAACACAATTTTTGTCCCTGGGTAGTAAGTGTCATTTCGTAATTATGGCTATTATTCCCCACAAACTTTGCTTTTGTGACCAGGAGAGTGATATTTTGAAATGTACCTTTTTTCAATGAGAAAACGGGCGAATATGTCTTTTCGTTCACATAAAGTCAGAAAAAAAACATATTAATCAAAATCAACATGTACTTATACTAAAGTAATACAAAAATGACTTCAAAAGATTTAGAAGTGATATATTTTTCGAGATTTACGATTATATTGTAAATCCCTTTCACGAATCAGCCCCCAAATGTAGTCTCCCATCATGTTCTCTTCATGCTGTCCTTGGTAGCGGCGTTCAAAGTCCAGTATATCCTGGTGGAAGCGCTCGCCTTGCCCTTCCGAGTACGCTCCCATGTTCTCCTTGAATTATCAAGATGAGCATCAAAAATATGGACTTTGAGGGACAGCCTTCAGCCCATTGTGCCGTAGTTCTTCACCAGTCTCAAGCAGCTCCACATAGTTTTCGACCTTGTGATTGCCCAGGAAGCCACGAACCACTGCGACAAATCTGTTCCAAGCCGCTTTCTCCTTACTAGTGAGCTTCTTGTGGAATTTATTACACTCCAGGATCTTCTTTAACTGTGG